GCCTCCCTGGAGGGGTGGGAGGGGCACGAAACCATGTAAATAGTATGGTATTCCGATACCCTCCTCGCTCAGGCGGGGCCTCCCTGGAGGGGTGGGAGGGGCACGAAACCATGTAAATAGTATGGTATTCCGATACCCTCCTCGCTCAGGCGGGGCCTCCCTGGAGGGGTGGGAGGGGCACGAAACCATGTAAATAGTATGGTATTCCGATACCCTCCTCGCTCAGGCGGGGCCTCCCTGGAGGGGTGGGAGGGGCACGAAACCATGTAAATAGTATGGTATTCCGATACCCTCCTCGCTCAGGCGGGGCCTCCCTGGAGGGGTGGGAGGGGCACGAAACCATGTAAATAGTATGGTATTCCGATACCCTCCTCGCTCAGGCGGGGCCTCCCTGGAGGGGTGGGAGGGGCACGAAACCATGTAAATAGTATGGTATTCCGATACCCTCCTCGCTCAGGCGGGGCCTCCCTGGAGGGGTGGGAGGGGCACGAAACCATGTAAATAGTATGGTATTCCGATACCCTCCTCGCTCAGGCGGGGCCTCCCTGGAGGGGTGGGAGGGGCACGAAACCATGTAAATAGTATGGTATTCCGATACCCTCCTCGCTCAGGCGGGGCCTCCCTGGAGGGGTGGGAGGGGCACGAAACCATGTAAATAGTATGGTATGGTACGTATGGTGTGGTATGGTATGGTATGGTATGGTATGGTATGTGTGGTAGGAACTATGGTGTGGTATGGTGTGTGTGTGTGGTAGGAATAACATTGTGCTGTATGGAAGATGGGTACGGTACGGTATGGTACGTATGGTGTGGTATGGTATGGTATGGTATGGTATGGTATGTGTGGTAGGAACTATGGTATGGTATGGTGTGTGTGTGTGGTAGGAATAACATTGTGCTGTATGGAAGATGGGTACGGTACGGTATGGTACGTATGGTGTGGTATGGTATGGTATGGTATGGTATGTGTGGTAGGAACTATGGTATGGTATGGTGTGTGTGGTAGGAATAACATTGTGCTGTATGGAAGATGGAGCGGGAGGTGGGTGGGAAGGAGAGGGTGTTCCGGGAAAACAAGAACCCCACTCAGGATGTGGGGAAATATGTAAAACACATCGCGCGGAGGGGGCCGAATATCTTCCAGACGTCATCAGGGGAGAGGGGGGAGTAGTATTCATGCTGTGTAATTGTTAAATGCGTTCGCGCCATATCTGGCATCCAACCCCTCCCACCCATCCCTTCCCACTGGCTGGTTTTTTCACGATCCGGCCACGCGTGTCATGGCGGGCTTGAAGTTCTCCTGGGGACACCGTCGTGACCTGTGCCATCGGAAGGGGAAATCTGCGTGTATTCAAAGAGGTAGCGGATGAGCAAGAGGATGCTAGGGTGCGAAAGCCAGAGGCAGATTGAATGTGGCTAGGGCGCGTCTAAAACGGGCGCGGGCGCAGTGCTGGCTGCAAGCGCTACGGAGGCAGGCAAGGATGGGGTGAGAAGAGCAGGACAGGTACCGTTCGAGTCCGGTGCTCAAACAGGTCCGTCGTGCCCTCGTTGGTGACACCTGCTAATTAAGAGTGCTCTGCTGACCGCGCTCGTGCAACAACAGATGTCTGCAGTGGGCGCTCTGCTGACCGTGCCCAATAGGCTATTTGTGGACCACATACTAAAAGTGCTGCCGTTCAGTTGACGCAGTCAGCTGGAGCAGCACTCGAACGAATGCTCCACTTCCACGTCTTCCTTGACGGTGAGTGTCCGCAGACCTTGGCGATGTCGTGGCTGCTGGGTAGGTCGACCCGTGCACGTGTGAGCGAAGGTATGGCGGTCGACGCTGTGACGCAATCGCGCGCGTTGCCTCTTCAATGCTGGGTGAAGGAACTGTGCTGGGAGCTCGGGGCGGCCTTTAATCTTCATGTTCTCGTCGCTGAATTAAACCGCGTCGTGATCATCGATGATCTGGCCGTCCATCGCGTTGAGGATGAACTTCCGGTCCAAAGTGCCCTTGGTCATGGGGTCGGCCCGAATATCCCGAGTGTCGCACCAGGGTAGGTCCTCGATTTGCTTGCTGCGCAACTGGTCGGCTAATTGCCACGGGCGGCCTGCCAAACTGATCCTGGACGGCGGGCGCACCGGGTCCATGAGCAGGGCGCTGAAGACGGACGTGCCGTCGATGACGAGATCAGCAGGGCTCTTGTAACCTCCTTCATCCCGCAGCCTCGATCTCATCGGCAGTGGCGGGGCAGCGCGCCATCTCGTGCAGCGCGAGGAGATGCCTACAATCCATCGGGTGCGCCGCATGCTGCGAGCAGCTCGGAACCGAACGAAGATCAGCACACCAGCTTATGCGACTGTCTGTTTGCTGCCGGTGCGGCGGCACTTGCCGAAACGCATGCGAACGGCACGTCTCATGCCGTATCCTGTCTCCTCCCCCCTATTGAACGACCCGTCGCTGTGTGCGCTGAAATCGCCTGGCACGCCCCATGGCGGGGGATGTGATGCGTCGATTTATCTTCTGCGTGACCAGAAGGAGTGAGTTGAACTTCGTTACGTGTCGGGTGAGCAGCTCGTTCTTGCCTCTCTGCAGAGCGGCGATGTACACGGCAACGTGGTGTTGGGCGAGCAGGGCGCTGCTCCCAGGACGGAAACAAAGAGGTCTGGGAGCTGCCCTCGGGCAGGCTCGTCATCCTTTGCGTTGGCCAGGTCGACGTGTCTGCTCGGTATCATAGCGTCGATGTTCTCGCCATGGTCGAATATTGCGGTATCATCGGCACCGCGGTGTTGGTGCGTTCCGCGCTTGATGAAATCGTCATAATCACATTCCATATCGATATAACTGATCAACTAGTCGACGTGCTCCAGGTTCACCGATCTTCAAGTCGTCGACATGCTTGGGCACCATGAGCACTATCTCCGAGACGCTGGTGCCATAAGCACCCGACGTCTCGTGCTTGACGTCCAGCTCGGGGTCCCACCTGGTGGGTTTGGTGTTGCACTCTGGTGAACGCGTGACCCAGGCGAGTTTCGTGGTGAACGCGTGACCCAGGCGAGTTTCGTGCAGCCATACTCGGCTTGGGATGCAAGCACCCAGTCTGCTCGGCGTAGCTCTCGTGGCCGGGCACCTGCCCGAGGATGGCTGCACTGCTGGGCGACATACACCCAATCTTGTCTGGTCACGTCACGGTTCGCGCCGGCGCCGTCTTGGAATTAAAGATTTCTAGGCATCCCCAGACGGCGCCGGCGCGAATCGTGAAATGACCGGCCCCCTCGTCACCCACCTCCCCCCCGGGTCACGCCCGTTTTCGGCAATGAAAAAATGGCACGCGTGGCGTGCCCAGGCTCTTGCACGAGGGAACGGCGAGGGAAAGCAGAAACGTGGGGGAAGGTATGAGGAAGGCAGGGAGGTCCGAGATGGCCAGGGGAGCGAAAGAATACGACGACGACGAAAATAAGGCTCCGCGCCACATGGCCAGGCCGGAAGGGCCAGGAACCATGGGCCAGGAGATCAGGGAGGTCCAAATTGGCCAGGGAGGCGGACGACATCGAACGACGCTCCGGCCACACGCCAGGGCCAGGGCCCATGGACAGGACCATGGGGGGCCCGACGACCACGGCCACGGCCATGAACATGAAGGGCTCCGAGCTCTAGAGCACAGCTGTGCAGGATAATCAACAAGTTCGAGCCCTGGGGCGGGGGGCAGGGCCAGGGGATGCCAGGGAGGCCAGAGGCCGAGGCTACCACCCAGGACTCAGGCGGCCAGGGCAGGGAAGAGGCTGGGGGGCGGGGCAGGGCCAGGGTTGAGCGTAGACTTTTACTTCGGAAGCCTCTGGGACCATTTCGGAGAGCCACGTTCCATGGTGCTTTGAGGAATGATGCGCACGAGTGAGACTTACACCAGCGCGCAAGGCATGGACTGAACCGTCGTACGAGGGTTATACAAAAGTGCCCCTCTGCGCCGTCGTGCCACCCCACAAGATGTGCTATTACAGCCTGGCAACACACTCTAACAGCGTGGGTGAAGAGGCACACTCGAAGTCTATCAAGGCCGTCAGAGGCATGCTGGGTGCCTCTTGAGGCATCCAGACTACTCGCAGACTTAAAGTATCCTGGACGGTCTGGCAAATTTTCGCTCCCCTTCAATCCCACCAGCCCTCTGGGCGTCGGTGGTTTAGGGCGTTTCCTCTTCCACCCCTCCTTCTTCCCCTTCGGGGAGGGGTTTACCCCTCCCCCTACCCCCTCCCGGTGGACCTGGACGGGGGGGGGCCGCGAGCGGTCAGAGCGTCCAAAACGGCCTCGGCGAGGAAGCCACAATCATTGATTTTACTAGGGTTTTGGCCCCATTTTGGCCTCTTGATGGGGCAACCCTAATTGAAGCTCCCCTCTTTTTTGATCGATGTCCTCCAAGATGGCCCCAAGAAGCGCCCAGGAGGACCCAAGAGGCCCCAAGATGGCCCCAATAGGCCCCAAGAGACCCCCAGGAGGCCCCCAAGAGGATCCGAAGCGGCCCAAAGAGGCCCCCCCGATGCACCCAAGACGCCGACAAAAACCCTCAGGACGACCCTCTACCCGCCTGGGCGTCGTTTCTGGATGGGCTGGTGGGGATACGCGAAGCGTCTAGCAATTTCTTAGCCACGCCTTCGCGGCACTGGAGGCCACTGAAGGCTCCTGCAAACGGTCGGATACTGTGGTCAAAGCCGTAAGAATTCCCCAAGGTGCCACATGCGCGGGCGCTCCCAAAGCAAATGTGCAGGCAGTACCACACTGCAGATCAGCCTTGCGCAAAAACCAGCCCTGCAATCTTCAGGAGGGCAAGGTCGTGCATGATCATGTCGAACAGTTCGGGGAGAGAATATGCGCATGGGGTCATCAGGCCAACTTCTGAGCCATGGTCCGGGCCTGAAACAGCCGTTGGGTCCGCAGGACTCTCGATTGGGCGAAGCTGCCAGGACGCGTCCTCAGGCTCGAACCCATCCTAGGAGCCTCTGCAGCAAATTTACTCCCTGCGGCCTCAGCTGGTCGCAATGGCAGCCACCGAAGCGAATATCTGGTTCTGCGTGTCGCAAGGCAGGATTCCTAGGATGGAGTCCTGGCCAGCAGTGCGCGGCGTCCCGGGTCCCCCATCCAAGGAGAAAAGTAACGGGGAAAGAGCCAGTGTGGAGTAAAAGGTTGGAGAACTTTAACAAAAAGGAGGAGGGGAAAGGGAGGCAAAAAGGAAGGAGTTGGAATCGAGGGAAGAACGAGGGATAAACGAGTGAGAATCACGGTAAGAGAAGAGACAACATCCGCGCTCTCCTGGTCCACCCGCCAAGCTTCGTGCTTATGCTACTGCTTATGCTGCTGGTCTTCCTCACCCTGTTCCTCCCCCTTGCTCCCCATTCTCCTCCTCTTCCTTTCGCCCCCGTCCTCCTCCTACTCCTGCGAGCGCGGGTCTCGCGCGCCCAAAGCACTGCGATCGGGAACCAGCTGATTCCCTCGCCGCCCCTCGTGCCGGACGGCTCCCCCTGGAGTGACACGCTGTCATAAAACAGCGGCCGTTCCCAGAGGGAAGGGGTCGGTCTGCCAGCCAAGGCCCATCCATCGATCTTGCTTGGGAACACGGCGGAAACTGGCACAGAAAAACATCGTCCAACTCCCTCGCCGCGGGAGTCCGGGCACCGTCGAAGCGTCAGCTCGGTTTTCTTCCTCTGGCGCCTCCTCTTCCTCCTCCTTCCCTCCTTCTCCTCCTTCCCTCCTCCTCCTCCTCCTCTTCCTCCTCCTCCTTCCCTCCTCCTCCTCCTCCTCCTCCTCCTCCTCCTCCTCCTCCGCCTCCGCCTCCTTCTCCTCCTCCGTCGCCTTCTCACCTCCTCGGAGTCGTCGTCCTCTGGCGATCGGCTGCGGCCTCGCCGTCAACGTCGTCTTCTTCGCATCTCCCGCTGGCTCTCGCCCGCGCCCTCTGCCTTCTCCTCCTCCGCAGGGCTCCCCACCCGCAGGCCAACCGCCTCCGCCACGGGGCCTGACGTGGATCCTGCCTGGGAAACGGACTGGTGGCGGACACAGGCGCTTGCAATGCGCCAACTTGGCATCGCTCGGACGTGTGCATGTTTCCTTCGGCGAGGGCCATCGAGGAGCATCCTTGATCATTCGGCGAAAAAACCACGCACGAAACCGAAACAAGCACAGGGAATGGACGTCCGAGCGATGGCGAGCCAAGCGAGTGTGGCCTGCGCGGCGAGGCTGGCCTGCTGCCAGGAGGCCAGCCGCCGGCGCGGAGGCCCGCGACCCGCCGCCTGCCATGGCGGCCTAACATGCGGACGGTCGCCTGCGCGCTCTCGCCTGGGCGGCCGCCCAACATGCGGAAGGTCGCCTGTGCGGTCTCGCCTGGGCGGCCCTTTCAGCTCAAAGACGGACGGGGAGATGTTGAGCCCCGCGTGGCGCCGCCGCTTGGCCCTCTCATCCTCCGCCGCTGCGGCTCCGTTCCGGCTGGCCGCTGGCGCTGCTCGGACCCTGGGCAAATCAGTGCGGGCGCCTACCACGGCGACGTCAATGGACGCGCGCCTGCAATCGCAGCTGAAGACGACGTCCAGCTCGTCCTCTGCCTCGTCGTTCGCAGTCGCGCCTTCCAAGGCCCACGTCCGCAAGCTGTCGAGCCTCTGCTCGGTCCTACTTCCTCTCCCCGCCCTCCTCCACCTTGCCCTCCCCCTTCCCGCTCTCCCATGTATTTCGCGGTGCTCGTCTCCCTGCCCCCTCCGATCCTCCCCTTCCCTCCCCTCCCCTTCCTCCGCCCCTCGCCGCCTGCACCCTCTCCAAGATGACCCACTTCTCTGCTCCGCGCACCGCGGTTGCCTTCGTGCCCTCGCGCAGGCCCCCTGGAGAGGGGGCCGCCTCTCGGATCGTGAGGCGCGAAGGCGCCATCATCCCTGAGACCCCACCGACGACCTTCCCAAGCATCCGACGCCATGTCTCTTCGTGGCATGGCCGCTTGGACTTCTCTACCTCATCCCAAGGGCCTCGTTTCCATCCCGGGCCGTTTGCTGACGGTCGAGAGGTCCAAAAAGGGGCCTTCGGAACTCTCGACGCTGAAAAAAACTTGGCCCTCCCCTCGGAGATCGACCCCCGGGCCTTGCCTGGGGCGCGCTCCAGACGGAATTCCGAGCCACGTCCGGCTGTGAAGACGAGGACGCCACCCAGAGAAAGCAACAGGCCCTCCGACCGTTCCACACCTCGATCCTCACAGCTCGATCCTCGAACTCCGACCCAGATCCCCAGACTTCCATCCTCGACCCTCCAACCAAACGCCCTTGAAGCCTCGATCCTCGAACCCCGACCCTCGATTTCGCCAGGGTCCTCAAACCAGGTCGCTCCCAACCAGGACTTCGAGAACCCCACCTGGCGAGAACCAAGGATCGATGGTGCTTCGATCCACGGCTGCAGCCTCCTCGGGCGCGCCAGGGCCCTGGCGCGACGAAACGGCCGCGCCGCGGCCGCGGTGCTCGCCGCGCGTGCCCCTTTGGCTCGCGCTCTCGCCTCCCCCTCGCCGCGTGCGCCCTGCCGCGCGGCGGTCGCGCGCCGCGCGCGCCCCTTGCCGGCGCAGGAGGGCCCCGACGCGCGAGGTGCGGGTGGGGCCCGGACCGGGGGAGGATCCAGCGTGCTCGTGGGGAGGAGGAGGATGAGGAGGAAGTGAGTGCCACTTGCACTCCGCATTCTCACAGCTGGTGGGCCCGTGTGGAGGATGTGGAAGAGACAGAGGCATCTGATGAGGCTGAAGTTCTCACGCGCCAGCTGCAGACGAATACCAGCCAAGCAACATCACACACTCTTCTCATGCCCTTACTATTTGTCGAACCGTCCACGAGCATCCATCATTCCTCCACACAGTGATGGCCTGCATTTGCCTTAGATAGGGCTAGATGGGCTTTCGATAACTTCCCACCAGCGAACCGACAGCGAGCACCAGAGAGTCTCTACACGATGAGTTGCCCCTTTCTCGCTTTCACGCCTCACTCGGGGCGCACGTGGCGTTCCCGCTGATCAGGGCGTCTACACCCGTTCCCACCCAACCCCCTTCATCTTTCCATCGACATCTCTAAAGCCGAATGTTTTGCTAGCCTCGAAATGTTCCTGGTCCCTCAAGTCCTACAGCCGCGCCCAAGTTTTGCCGTCACCACGACGGTTACAATGTCCAACCACTTCCAAGCCAGCCTTCACTCGGAGTGGATACGCGATGGCATGCCCAGCCCAGCTGCCGCCCGCACAGTGTTCGACCTCTCCTACTTCTTTTTGCATTGCTTGTGTACTGATACATGATTCTGTTGAACTTGTCTCCCATACACATCATTCGACACTGGCCGCCCGCTTGCCCTCCTCTCGTTTGAACCAGGATCGGTAAAACTAGGTCTCGGCTATACTGGATCGGGAGCTTCGGTCACCGATTTTGCAAATCCGAGAATTAAATCGGTCCTCTCACGCCCCCCCCCTCTTCCTCGCGACGACGACGCCGACGATCGGCCACGGAGGCTCCAGAAGTTTCAGGTCCCCAGGGATTCCCAAAGGCCCCCAGCGACCCCAGGATCAGACGCTGCGAAACAACTTTTTCTTTCGTCGCAACACGGCAGAGACGATCCGCACGCGCGCTCGAGTTAGCCGGGGGAAAGCGAACTAATTGTCGGCTGACATAAGGGGGGAGGAAGGCGGAGGGGGGTCGGACAGCCGGGGGGAAGACCAACGGAAATCATTCGGACAAACAAAAATCAAGACTCCAGACACACATCGAAAACACAATTCAGCCCTGGGGATTTTTTTTGTTCGAGCCCTGGGGTCAATGCAGGGTCAATCTGGGGTTAATCTGGGGATCATCCTGGGTCAGTCCAGGGTCACTCTGGAGTCAGTCTGGGGTGAGCGCGGGGCTGAGTCTGGGGTGGATCAGGGGCCAGTCCGTGGTCAATCTGGGGCCAGTCCAAGGTGAGTCTGGGGTCAATCCTGGGATCAGGCGGGGTCAGTCCAGGGACCACCTTCCCATAACATGCAGCCACGAATGGTAGTCTGGCTGCGGCAACCAGCAGAAGCAGCAGCAGCGGCAACATAATAATATCAGCAACGCTCTGGGAACATACCTACTTCATGCGGAGGTCATGGCTTGGTATACTTTGTCTTGATAGGAATATCTCTCGGTAAAGTAGGTCGGTACATGATATCTAAATTCAAGGAGTGGATTGTAGTTCCCGTACGCCCCAGCGGGCACACCAAACTTCTAATTCTCTTTGTCGATCCCATGTCCGCACTTGCTTGCAGCTGTGTTACACTCGCATTCCGCCTGCCGATCATAATCCGTGCAACGGAGATAGGGCGATCTGGGTTTTTGGTGGATGTTTCTAACCCTTTGTGGACCTCTGGAGGCCCCCAGGAACTCAGCGTGCTCAAACAACCTACGTATCTCCCTCTCGGTCCAGGCAGCAGGTGGCGGCAGCCTCGAGGGGCCGCGGGATCAGAGGGCGAACGCGCTGCTGAAATGGTTGACGCGGTGGCAAATGGCTGAGAAGGCCTATGAGGCCGAGGGGCAGGAGGAGGAGGAGGAGGCGGTGGAGGGGGAGGACGACTGTAATCCCAGGACTCACCAGCGATGTTGCAATCCACCCTGCCTCCAGGTTCAGTGTTCATAAGCCCCATACAAAAGTTCATCTTCACTAGGGAGGAACGGCCCCGTTGGAAGCCAACCGTCTGAAAGTCCTGAACTGTGCCAGAGCACCACTCCTGGGACTGCAACGCTGCGAATCACCATTGCTATTGCGTCTTGACGACCCTGAACCGTGCCAGAGCGCAGTTTCTGGGACTTCAGCACCGCGAATCAGCGTGACTGTCGTGCCCTGACAGTCTGGCATCGTGCCGGACCACAGTTTCGGGGACGTTCGCCATGGACAGCCTTACAAGTGCTGTAAACGCCCAATGCACATGCGCGCTGCGCTAAAAAGCGAGAACCACATTTAGAGAAGGAAGCGCCCTCCATTCTTGAAGCTCTTGCAGCTGCTTCAGACGAGTGTGCGCAGCGCCGAGGCGAGAACCACACTTGAAAACAACCCGCCCTCCATCAATGAAACTCCGGCTAATGTTCAAAACGAATGTGCGCGGCACTGAAGCGAGAACCACTTTTTGAAAACGACCCGCCTTGCATCCGGAAAGCCCTTGCAACATTTCAGCTTGAGGATCATACATGGTAGAGAGGTCTCAAGCGAAATGCCACGCCAACCCTACCGACATCCCTCTGAGTGCGACAAGGAAGAGTTATGTAAGAACAAGATTGATACCGAGCCGTCATCCTGTGTTGTCTTCGTGAGAAGTGGAAGGGGCGGCTGAGTTGAGTGCGGGAAGGGGACGAGGAGGGAGGATGGAGGGAAGAGGGACTGATGAGAAAGGAGTAGGGAGCGAGTGAGGGAGGAGGGAAAAGGAACACTAGGAGACGGAGGAGGAGGAGGAGGAGGTGGAGGAGGAGGAGGGAGGAGGAGGAGGAGGAGAGGGATGAGTTTTTGTACCGAGCGCTCCAGCGAGCGAGGAGGAGACGTATGCGGAGGCGGAGGCGGAGGCGGCGGAGGAGGAGAAGGAGAAGGATGACGACGAGGGCGGGACGTCGTGGGGTGGGGGGGTGGGGGAAGGAAGTGGGAGGATTCCTCGCTCCCTCCCTCCCTGCCAAGGCCACTCCTCGGCGGCGACCGCTCCTGGCAGCGCCCCTGCGGATGCGGCAGCCGGCCGAACTGGCGCGGCTCGCCGAAGATCAGCGAGGTCTTCCAGCCGCCTGGGCCTCGGCGAAGACCGCGCTCGTCGGCCGATAGAAGGTCGTCGTCGTCGTCGTCGTCGTCGTCGTCTGAGTCGCCCTCCTTGATGACAACGAAGGTGGAGGGTGGAGGAGTGTGGAGGAGGGTGGAAAAGGAGGTGGAGTTTGGAGCAGTGTGGTGGCGGGGGTGTGGATGATGAAGAGGACGGGGATGCGGAGGATGGGGATTGTGAGGACTTTGTTGGTGATGGTGGTGATAAGGACGATGATGAAGATGGTCATGGCGATGACAATGATACCCATGTTGATGAGGACGATGATGCTGATGATGATGCTGCTGCTGATGAAGATGAACATGATGCTGAGAATGATGACGAGGAGGAGAAAGAGGAGGAGGAAGAGGAGGAGGAGGAGGAGGATGAGGAGGAGGACGCGAGAGCGGGAGAGGATGAGCGATGAGGGGGATGCGTCGGAGGTGGAGGAAGGAGAGGATAATGACAGGGGGGAGGGGGGAAGAAGGGGGAAGAACTGCCAAGGTGTGGCGACCTCCCCTTATACGGCAATCTCTTCCTATTCACATCCAGGGCGTGTGGCCCGACTGGCCGCGGGCCGTGGCGACTTCAGACAATCGAGCTCGACAGGAGTGCGGTGAGTGGTCACGATGCATCCTCGCAATGTTCACCCTTGTAAGATTGTCCCTTTTCAACTTCGCAATCTTGATTTCTTGCTGCACTGCTCGCGGGATACACGGCTCACACGCGTGAGTATCGCAGCCTTTTGGGCGACGAAACAAGAAGCGGGTCTTACGCGAGATGGCATCGAGACCTTACACGGTGGCTTACGCGGGCTGCCAGCGCAAAACGCTGCATTGGAAACGAGGGCGCTTACGCGCGACCTTGCGCTGGCAGCTTACGCGCGAATGTCCGCGCAATTGACCCCCATTTCTCCCGTCGCAACTTTGTGGCCCGGGTGAAGACCTCAGAGCCCGTAACGCGCGGCCATACAAACAGTGGTCGGGGGTTGCTAAAGTGCCCCTGCCCCAAGGTGCCCCCAGCTTTTCGTTCAATTTTGAAGCCCCAGAGCCCCTGGGGCCCTGTGGGCCTCGTGAAGGGTGTTCTGGGGGCCGTGGGGGTCTCCTTGGAAATCCTGGGGACACCTTGGGCCAGGATCACTTCTCCTAACACCCGAAGTGGCTGAGACCGGGGATGCACCAGCCGAGGCCGGGATGCACCAAGCGTCGAGCAAGATTCGCCTGCTGCACCGTGCGAGCGGGCGATGGGGGCGGCTGCTGCAGGACGTGGCAATGATGGGACCACCGCGGACGGGCGCCAGGGCATTCGCCGAGACCGCGTGTCTGGGAGGAGAGGCCTGACCTTTGTATGACTACCGCCAGCGGCCAGCCGGGGGGGCGTGAGAGGGGGCGGGCCTTCTCAGAAGGCTCGGAAGTCCACCCCGGACTTCTCAGACCTCTTCGAAACCTTCCCGAAATGAAGGGGCCCCAGGACACACAAATAAATACACACAAATAAAAATATCCCCCATATTTTCTTTTATTTTCTGGGTTTCTGTCTTCCCGCCCACTTCCCATATTTTCCCATATTTTCTGGGGGATCGACGATTAATTGTGTCTGTGTGTTTTTTTCCCTCCTGACCAGAGGCATCGAAAACTTCTCAGAATTCCGGAGGGCTACTGAGAAACTCCGCCGCCTTCTGAGAAGGCCTCCTCCCTCTCACTTCCCCGCCCTCGCTCGCCGCCGATCCTGGGACCAAGTGGGCCTTCGCGGCCTAAAAAGCGCGACGCGTTGAGGTGGGAGCCGGGCTGTGAGGCCGCCGCCTTTTCGCCTATATGGCATTTCCTCCGCCTGGTTCTGCGATGCCTCCGCAGAAGCACCCTGACAACGCCAAGGGCTCGGGCCTGCCTCCTGCACATCCCGAAATGCTTCACGCTCTGATGGCGGCCCAACCTGAAAGGGCCCTGGGACACACAAATAGATACACACAAATCAACAGATTCCCCTATATTTTCTTATATTTTCTGGGTTTCTGTCTTCCCCCCCACTTCCCATATTTTCCTACATTTTCTGAGGAATCGACGATTAATTGTGTCTGTGTTTTTTCCCTTCCTGACAACCGTGCGCAACGGTCCCTCCCTGCCTTCCCGGCCTCCCCCCTCGCGTGTCCCCCAGTTGGCTTCCGACGCGCCCCGCCGCCAGCCGACCGCCCGCTGGAGCCAGCTCGCCGACGAGAAAGGCAAGTGTGGGAGGAGAGCGCATCCAGACGAGCGAAGTGACCGCTCTCAAAAGTGGGTCCCACGACTCGCAAAGCGACTGCTTGCGAATGGCCTGGATCCGCCCCGGGGGATCCAAGATCTATCTCGTCGAGGCGAACATGTGCTCTTCGGACGTTTGCGGGTAGGCGCTTTGCGAGTAGTAGAACGCGCTCGGTGAGTGTCGGGGTGACGGGGCGGGGACTCAGGCCGCTGGAGGAAGAGAACCTTGAACACACCGACGCTGGAAACCTCGCCTGCTATGTCCACTCACATGGTTGATGCTGACATCCTCGCGACGGCATGAACACAATGATCTCCATCCGATCTGGCTAGTGCGGTCAGTCCTAGACCACTGCAACTATTGCTGCTTGACTTGGGTGTATGCTCGTCCGTGGGGTCTACCCGAACATGTGTGGAGATACATCCTTCGACACCACCAATTATCACTGTGACGTGAAGACTGCTGAACAAATCATGCATGTGCGGGGGACGACGCGGAAGAATAGGTCACCGCCCTGTCACAATTTTCAACTCGGGCGTGTCTAGTTAAGGAACAACTTATATCGACATGTTGCCAAACCTAGCGAAAACCTCAATCGAAAATATCGAACTTTGACTTTTTGACCAGGTCATGCTACATGTGCCTATGGTAATTGGCCAGGCCGTGATATGGCAAAAAGGATGATAAGGAGAGGGAGGGGGAAATAGGGGATGTGGCAGGGAATCGGGCTGGAAGGGGGAAGAGACTGGAAGTTCCTCATCCTCTCCTTCCCTCATCGTACTCGCCGCCCACTTAACCCCCATCCTTCTCATTCTCCTTCTTGTCTTTGTTCTCGTCCTGATCCTCCTCCAACTTCCCCCTGCCCTCCTTCTCTTCCTCTTTCTTCGAGTTCTCTTTCTGTGTTCCTCTCTCCTTCTCCTTCTCTAGAGCCAGCTCGGTCCGAACCCGCGGGCTCGTCACGAGCCCGCGCCAGGGGCGCCCTGGCGCAACCCTCCTCCCCGCGCCTCGCCTGGTCCCCCTTCGCCGCGGGCGGTGGAACCGATTCTGGTGCGGCGGCCTCGCCGGCCGAATCTGTCCACCGCCGAGCGCCGTGCCGACGCGCGGGCTGCTGGGCGGCTGCTGAAGGCGTTCGCCGATGTCGACCGCCACCGCGGCCAGAGCCTCAGCGGTCTGGCCCTGGCACCGCGCACCACACTCGCGGGCGCGAGTGCAGATGCGGCCGAGGATGTGGCGGCGGAGGTCCTCGTCGCGCCGCCCGCGGACACCACCGTCAATGTACCCCAGATTTCGTAATAAAGGGAGGGGGGTCTCATTTCGGGGGGGGGTCTTTTCCAAGCTATCTTGGAGGGCCTGGGGGGGTCTGGGGACGATGTTTTGGAGGGTTCTCCCAGGGGGGGGGGTCTAAAACTTCTCGTCTGGGAGGGTTGAGACCCCCTCCCTTTTGTTACGAAATCTGGAGTACGTGGCAAAGCTTCCGTCGCTGGCCGCACCCTCGACGCGGACTTCCTGGCGCAGGCGGCTGCTGACGCAGCTGCCATCGCGGTCGAGTTCTCGCAGCGGCTCCGCGCCTCGCCCCAGCCTGCCAGGCGGGGAGCCGACGCTGGAGGAGAGGGAGGCGATGGAGGTGACGGAGGCGGCGCTGCGCCGAAGGCTCGGAGGCCCGTGCGGGCCGCTCCGATGCCCCGAGCGCTGCCCAAGGCGCCCGTGCATCCCGCTGGCGTCACGACGGCGACCGCGCTGCGGATGCCCAGGCGCTTGGGCGCTGCTTCGGGCAGTGCCGCCGTCGCGGCACCAGAGTCTCGACGTCGCCTTGAGGGAGCTCGCTGCCGCGGGAGCTGGGCTCGCAGTTGCAGGGGTCCCTGTCCCTCCTCGGCCTCTCGGTGCACGAGGTTTTTGATATTCGTTTGGCTGCTTGCGCTTCGTCCAAGGTTGCTTCTCGGCGCTGCGTTGCCCCTTGCCGTCGCTTCGCCTTTTTTATTTGTTCATTGAGTCGCTCTAGTTTGCAGAGGGCCCGCTGCCGCCAACGTGAGTACGCCAGCTTGAGGGCCATTGCCGCTCAGAACTCCTAGTGGGGAGCAGGGTGAGTGCGCCTCCTCAGTCGTGGGCCGGTATATCCCACATCCCCACACTTGGGAGAGAGAGCTCCGAGGGGAGCGGCCCGGCGCGTGGGGCGCCCTCCGCCTGCTGGAAGCGTGGAGCGTTTTGAGCCATGTCTGCTACGGCTTGACCGGGGTCGCGCCGCTGAGCGCCGTGAGCCCGACGCGCCCGAGTGGCATGCCAACTGGGAGAGCATGTCGGGGTCCGCGAGGGCAGCCTTGTCGTGGGCCGTGAGTTGCTTGCGCCTGTGCGCCTCGCGGCGTAGTGGTATGGTCGTTGCGGCTGCCTTGGTGACCTTGTGGGCGACGTCGGCCCCTGGTGAGCCGTCGTCTGCAACCATCGTGCCGAGGAGGCGGTGGTGCCTGACGATCTCGACGACGCTGGTGGCTACTGGAACCTCGATGCGCGTGGACTCCCGCTGGAAGAAGGCCTCCTTGCGGGCCTTGTGGCCAGGCCCGTGGAAGCTGATCAGCACCTTGGTCTTGGCCAGTTTGAGCTTCATGCCGAAGGTGGCTGCGGCCAGGTAGACGCTCTCGCAGATGACTGCGGTCTCTCGCTCGGCCTGGCTGTGGTGGGAGAAGACGTGGTGGGTGGTGAGGTCATCTACAAACGAGAGGCCGTGGGGCTCCTCTTGCAGCTCTGGCCGTCGTCGCCTTCGCATTTGAATGCTTCGTCCATCGGGTTCGCCGCGATGGTGATGCCTTCTCTCGTAGGAGGGGGGTCAGCATCCTGTGGGCCCTGGAGAAACATATGTTGAAACCCGAATCTGCTAGAGGCACGCCAGGCCTTGTGCCTTTCCTGGGCACCCTTGCCGCTGCGCTATGCCGATGCGATGTCCATCTGTTGCGGTGTCCCTCCGTAACGAGGGCAGACAGGTGGGAGAAATCCGTCGTGCTGTCGAGGCGCCCAGGAGCTTCGAGGAGTCGCTGCAGTTGCGGCACGATTCACGCGGGCACCTCGACGCTGTTGAAGACGTCCTCCATTTCGTGCTCATCCCCAGACATCTGGTGGATGAACTGCAGCAACACGCTGTAGAATGCTTCCTGGATGTCGTACATGTCCACAACGTGTGATCGTCCCTGCCTCTTGGCCCTCTCCATGAAGAGCCTTGTCGCGAGGACCGTCATGCCTGCCCCTCGGCTTGGTCGGCCGCCTGTCTGGATGTCCTCCAGTATCTGGGCAAGGCAGCCGTTGAGCACCGTCCGCAAGAACTTGTGGTGATGCTTGCCCAGCACACTGTTCAACAACATCTCCCTGTGGGCTTGCAGCGTGCGCTCGTCGCCCTTGCCCCTGGGGATGGCTACCATGCCTCCCCCCTTGAAGGCGAGCGGTTCACGGACTGTAACGGCGGCTTTCACGAAGAGCGGGTGCAGCATGTCTGCGCACTGGCGGGGCTGTGCGCAGCAGGGCATTGGTGTGGCCGCCTGGCCCACCCTTGAGGCCTGGCGCCGCCGAGCGCATCTGGTAGTAGCACACTCCGTCGGGCATCGCCGCCTCGACTTGCATCTCGCCCTGGAAGAACCTGTTGTCGCTGTCCTGGTTGTACTTGTCGGCCAGCTGCTGGGCCGTGATCACCTTGCCCGCTTGGGTGGCTGCGAAGTTCTGCATCTCGTGGTTGGCGATGTCGTCAGATGTGCTCAGCAAATGGCCATCTGGCCCTAGTCGGAGTGGACGGCCAGCCTTGTAGCGAGGTTTCTTGCCTCCGAAGCGCAGAAGTGCTCGGTACTGTTGCCATTGACGGTAGGCGTCGTTCTTGGCCTGGGCGTCCTTTGCAGTAGCCGCGAGGGCGGACAGGAAATTATAGCGGTCGTTCTCGATAACGTAGGCCAACAGGGGGCCTGTCTCGAGCATGAAGGCATACAGCGCCAATCCGTATTCTGACGGCGGAGAGGCCCAACTGATGAAATTAGCCGCTCGTGTCTGGAGCCGGTAGATGCCGTGACTGATGGTGTCGGGCTCCGTCGTGATGTAGTTGGCAACCTCTCTTAATGTCCTATCGGTGATGGACTTCGCGTGAGCGTAGAGGCTGCTAGGATGGTTGTCGGTGACGCGGCCGCGCTTCAAGTCCTTGAGGACTCTGTTGGTAAGGCGCCTCATGCGGATGATGCTCATGGTGCGTGGCGTAATGTAAGGCTTGAGTGGCTTTTTTTGTCGCGCGCCCGAAGGCTTCGAGGGCTGCTTCTTTGATGGTGTTGGTGACTTGGTGGCAGTGGTCGTTGATGTCGCAGTTGAAGGGTACTTGTGGGGCTTGCTCCAGTAGTCGCTAAAAGCGTGCTTTGGCGTCTGGGTCGGAGAATTTGGAGCTGTCTGGGGTGGGTTCGCCCTTGGTCATCTTGCCGCGTGTCAGCCAGCGCATGGTGGCAAGCACTGGGATGTGGTCGTCAGCTGTTACTCCTTTGTCGAACCCTGGGTCGGTGGTGGCTGCGAGCACGTACTTTGCAAGGTGCTCCGATATCATGTAGTCAAGGCGGTGGCGCTGGCCTTTCGAGGTTATGTGCGTGAGCGATGCCGAGCCTTTGTCCTTTGTCGTGTTGACGATCTCGAGATGGTGCACCGCTGCAAAGCTGAACAGCCTAGTTCCCGTCTCGTTCATGGGCTCTGGAATGCCACCGCATCCCACCCAATCACTGGTAGTCTCGCCGATTCTTCCGTTCATATCGCCCATGACGATGTCGATGGAGTAGGCACTGGTGAGGCGGGAGAGGTGGTCCCAGATCTCGTCCTTCTTGGCCCTCTCCGTCTCGTCGTGCGGCGCATACACTGATGCGATGGTGATGTCGGCGGTGAGGACTTTGGCTCTTAGAACCAAGATGCGGTCCGATTGGTGAAGGAGCAGTGTCTTGGGGCCCAGCGTCTGGGGCTGGCCTTGCACTGTGAGCGGCAGGGTCGTGTTGAGCCATATGTCGCAGCTGCTCCTCCTCCTCCTTCTGCTCCTCCTCCTCCTCCGATGTCGCAGCTGCTCCTCCTCCTCCTCCTCCTCCTCCTCCTCCTTCTCCTCCTCCTCCTCCCCCCTCCTCCGCCCTCCTCCTCCTCCTCCTCCTCTTCCTCCTCCTCCTCCTCCTTCCTCCTCCTCCTCCTCGCGACGGGCGGGGGGCAACTCTCGGGGAGCCGTCCGCCACGAGCGGAGGAGGGCGGCCCGGCTTTTCAGCGCAGGCCGCGCCGCCTCCGCGGGGGGCAGTCGCAGGCGGCGCGTGCGGTCCGGCGGCAGGACGGCGGCCAGCTCCTGCGCCTTGGCCGCGAGCCCAGGGAGTCCGCCTTGGCAGCGAGGGGCCCAAGACAAACCAGCAAGCCTGGCCCCCTTTGGTCGCTCCAGGCCACTTCTGGGGACTTCTGTACGGGGCGTGAAAACGACCACAGCCACTGCTTTTCTTTTGTTGCCGCCTTCCAGCCCGCAGAAACAAAGCAGTGGTTGTGGTCATTTTCGTTGAGCTTGGCACCAGGGAAATGACCACAACCACTGCTTCTTTTTCGGCCAGCTGGAAGGCGGCGCAAACAAGAAGCAATGGCTGTGGTCATTTTCCCGTCCCGCATTCGGGGAGCACCGAGAGGTCTCCAGGGAACGTTCGTGGAGTTTTGGATCCCTCAGGAGACTTCCAGAGACCTCTTGGAAGCCGAGGCCCGGAATGTGGGCCAGCACTCTGCAGCGGGCTGCAAAAGTAATTCAACCTTCGCCGTCGCCGTCGCCGTCGTAGTTGTCGTCGTCGGCGGCGTCGTTAACGTCCGAGGTTTCTGACCGCGTTTGGACGGTTTGGGAATTTTCTGGCGTTCTGGGGGGGGGTCCTGGGGGCATGCAATGTTACATTATTACTTTTCCAGGTGTGGGTAGGTCATCAAACTTCGCGCGTCGCGCCGCGCGAAGACCTGACGCGAGATTATCTTTGCGGTCTCGCGTGGCTCCCGTGGGATAAGGCAACTCTTTGGCCCGGGCCGCGACGCCCGACGCGCGATTCTCTTCGCGACTCAGCGGGCGACCCAGGACCGGCAACGGGGCGGTGGGCTCTGAGAGGCCGGGGGCCGCTCTGCGCCTGTGTGCCAGAACAGGATGTGCTTCCCGCGGAAGCGCTCGGGGTGGTCCCTGGCATGCCGACAGAAATGGTACAGCGCCTTGCCCGTGTACACGTGGTCCAACACAACTCCGGACTCGAAACCCACGTCGCGGATAAAGCCGAGCTCGTCCGGAGTCGTGACCGCGTAGCCGGAGCCGCTGCCGTCGTGGATGCTGAGCCAGTCCCTCGCGGTGCCCTCGCTCGCCGGCGCGGACCCGAGCGCCTGGGCCTCGCGGTCGATGACGGGGAAGAAGTCGTCGGGGGAGTGCTGCACGTTCACCGCGTGCATCTGCGCCCCGAGCCCCGCCAGGCGCGCGCCCAGCGCCAGGCCCGCGGCCGTGCCGCCCGTGCCCGCGGCGAAGACCACGTGGTCGACGGGCCGCTGCCCCGCCAGGGATCCCAGCTGCTGCTGCAGCTCGTCCACGGCGCTGAGGTAGCCCCACGTGGCGAGCGGCGCGGTGCCGCCCACGGGCACCACGTAGGGCCGCCGGCCCTCCGCGCGCAGCTGCTCGGCCGCGGCCTCGTTCAGGCGGTCCATGGCCGCGAGGTCGCCGCCGCACCGGTAGTAGTCGGCGGCGGCGCAGATGTGCAGCCTGGCGCCGAGCATCCGCGCTGCGAGCAAGTTGCCCTCCATGCCAGGGTCCGTGTCCTCCTTCCCGGGGCTCCGAGGGGTGTGGTTTGCAGAGGGCGCGGTTTGGACGGGTGGGCGAAGACCTCGACAGAGATCTCTGCCGCGCCCCGACCAGGGCCCATCAAACCTCTGGCGCAACGTTGTGTCCCCGAAGCACCCACGGCGCCGATCGCAAGCCGCACCCCTGCGTAGCCAAACCCATTGTAGTCGCCGATCCTTCCCCGTCTTGACGACCAGCACCAAGTGCGGCTCCAGGCCCACCAAGCGCGCGGCCGCCGCGGTGGCGCGGCAATGGTTCGACTGCTGGCCGCCCACCGTGACCACGCAGTCGCAGCCAGTGCCCAACGCCTCGGCCATGAGGAACTCCAGCTTCCTCACCTTGTTGCCAGACAACTCCACGCCCGAGATGTCGTCGCGCTTCAGCGACCACTGCACGTCGAGGTCTCGCAGGGCCGGGCAAGCCCATGGCATGAGCGGCGTGGGCAGGTGCCCGAGAAGCACCCGCCCATGCTCTGGTGCCCTCAGATGCGACGCCCAGGAGGGAGCCGTATAGCCTACCCGCCGCAGCAGCTCCATCAGCGCTCCCCACGGCGCCGCGGCCGACAAGCTGGGGGACGTGGCAATGGGCTCCGATGCGAGAAGGACGGAATGGATATCGGAAAGAGGGAGGGACAACTGGAGAAACGCAGAACAGGCCCGCCGCGCCCGCCCACCGTTGGAAAGGGCCGCCGAGGTGCGACGAGGCAAGGGGCTTCGATGCGAAGGAACGGATACCGAGGAGAGGGGAGGGAACATTCGAGGGAAGGAGGGGGGAGGAACGGCAGGGGGCGGTCAAGCGGACCTCGAGACCAGCCCTGCATGCGATTGAAGTGCGGCTGCAACCGAAGAGGACGACCGCTGGCACGGCTGACCGGGATTTGCTCGAGCGCTCTTGGGCCTTCTCCAAGGATGGCCTGAGGGCGGACCATCCTCCCCCTCCCCCTCCGCCTCCTCCGGCCCCCGAGTCTACACTGCCGCAAGGCCCATATGCTTTTGGCAGATTGCCCTCGGATTGATCACTGGCCCAGCTTTCCGTGCCGAAATCGCCAGGGCGCACAACTGCGATCGCAGTGGAAACACGGGCTCGGGTTGATGGTACTCGGGAGCGGGGGTGGGAAGAGGGTCGCTCGACTGTGGAGGGCACGCAAGGTCCGAGGACGGCGAAAACCTTCAAAAACCCTTTTCCTCCAACACCCGTTTCTTTCGTGATAAACGGGGAAAAATACGCGGATTGTGCAAAAACGTCATGTGAACGGTACAAAAATGTGTGCGCCACGCCGGGTAATCGGAAAACACGCATGCTGTCTTCTCTCGTGGGTGCATCTGTTATTTCCGCTGGCTTGCCGCCGACGCAGCCGGCCCCGTTTCACTTCCGCCAATTTTCTCCAACTTTCCACTGAAGCGCTCTCGCGCATCGGCCGCGCGCGCATGCCGAAATCCCTCCGAAAGTTTCATTGCCGACGCGTGGGTGCCATCATCGTCGTCGGCGCGATCAGCATCGGAAACGTCACTGGCCTTGCCTTCGTCATTGTCATCATCGTCATTAAAACCGCTACCATCATCACCGCATCTACCGTGGTCGAGGTTGCCATGATGCCGTGCCCGCCCAAGTCGCCGATTCGCACTGCAGTGCTCCCAGGGAAGCGCCCAGCGGTCAGCGCCACCGCGGCCGCGTCGGTCGCGCCAAACTAGCTGGCCGCTGCGCGCGCGAGCATGCGCGGGCTAGCGTGGCCGCAGAGATGCCCCAGCCAACTCCAAGCACTCATCGCAATCGCCGTCGCATTGGTTTAGCAAACCAAGTTGCGGGTGAGTGGGTGGGATGGTTGCGCGAACAGTGGGATTGACAATCGTTGCGAACAGATGTTCGTTGCACCACATTTACAGCACCGCTCAAATTGCACAACACAGATTGCACGACGTATGCTGCACCACACGTATTGCACCACGTATATTCCCCCTTCAACCAATAACGAGATCGGCCCCCCTGGAATTAACGGTCCGACTTTTCGTCTTGCAACTTGCATGTGTTTTTGCCCATCGTCCATCTTAACCGTCAATTCAAAACATCCCAGGCAGGCTGGTTCCCCCCCTCCCCACTGTCAAAAGTATATGCGCGAGCACTCGTGTATAATGACCCGACAATTTCCAATACTCTCTTATAACATATGTAACGAAGTTGGCACGTGCGCGTCGTCGCGGGCGCATGCCGAAATCTGGCAACAAGTTGCAGCTTCGCGCGGGTTTCAAAACAGGAGCTGTCAAAACAGCCAGAGCTCGCGCTTTTGCATAATGTCAAGAAAAAGAATGTTCAACATGTTCATTCACTGCTACCACACGTGTCTGTCGCGCGCGCGTGTCGAAAACGCTCGAACGCCCTTGCGCGCGGGCTGTCACAACAATCCCTTGCAACAAATGTGACGAAGTGCGCGCGCGCGTCGTCACGCGTGCATGCGGAAACTATGTAACAACCTTCTGTTTCGTACTTGGGGTTCACAAACAAATGTCCCGACACACATCTAACCCACATGGATGTGCAACAGCAATTTCTTGCTATAAGTGCCTGCGCTCGCGCACCTGCGGATTCTTAACGAAATTACCCCAGTGCGACCCTACCTAGAAGTTGGAGCCCCTAGGAAAGCAGCATTACTTGCTATGCTATGCTATGCTATGCCATGCTGCGCTATGCTATGATATGCTATGCTATGCTATTATGTGCTATGTTATGCTATGCTATGCTATGCTAAGCTGCGCTCTGATATGCTATGCTATGCTCTGCTATGCTATGCTATGCTATGCGGCACTGTGCTATGCTGTGCGGTGCTGTGCTGCGCTATGCTATGCTATGCTATGCTGCGCTATGCTATGCTATGCTGGGCCATGCTATGATATGCGATGCGGCGCTATGGTATGCTACGCTATGCTATGCTGTGCTCTGCTAACTCAGCGAAGCTAAGATGAAGGTAAGCTGGCTAAGATAAGTCTGAGCAAGGATGAAGCTAAGCTACGCTAAGATGAAATAAGCTAAGCTAAGACGAGATAGGCAACGCTAAGCTAAAGGAACGTAACTGGGGGAACCGCGGGGCGGATACTGGGGGAACCGCCCGGGGCGAGTTGCACTGCCCGGCCCTTTAAGCACACCGAGTAAGAACCCTTCTAGGCAGAGCCTAGGTAGGGGCAAATTGTCCAACATTTCTCATTCAATTCAGCCAGACGGGCCTCTCGCGCCGCATGTCGAAATCATTCGAACGCCATTGCGCGCGTGTTGGGGGGGGGGGAAAGGGGGGGAGTGGCAGGACCCTTGTCCAATAACATCATGCGGTCCACTCTCGCGCGTCGGCCGCGGGCACATGTCGAACTCCGTCCAAAACCTTCATCACCGACGCGAGGACGCCATCCTCGCCAAATCTATGCATGCGCACCCGTTTATCAACACTCATCAATTTTCAAAAATCCCTTGCTAAACACGGGACGCTGTGCGCACGCGCGCGTCGGCGCGCGCGCATGCCGAAATCATTCACAGTTTTTTTGGGTGCCGGAGGGGCTTCGTCATCGAGCAGCCCAACAACATATAAACACATGGCTTTGCAACATCAGTTTTCGGGAAAACATGCGCGCGCCCCGAAACAACAACAACGACGGTTTTCAACATTTTCATCACACTCTACGTGCAAAAAGGGCCCCTAGCGCGCATGTCAAAATCGTTCGAGTAACATTGCGCGCGTGCTGGGAGCGGAGGGGGGGGCAAAATCCTTGCCAAGTGAAATCATGCGGGCCACTCGCGCGCGTCGGCCGCGGGCTCATGTCGAACTTCATCACTTCATCCAAAACCTTCATCGCCGCCGCGAGGGCGCCGTCGTCGTCGCCGTCGTCGGCGTGAACAGCATCGGCGCCGTCAGAGGCCTTGCCTTCGTCATTGCCAACATCGCCACCAACACCGCTACGCCTAGCATTCACCGCAATCACCGCCGCATGGGTTTTGCAAACCAAATTGTGGGTGGGTGGGTGAGATGGTCATGCGAGCAATGGAATTGACAACTCACTGCGGGCAGAAATTAATTGCACCACATGTATTCTCCTTTCTAAAAGAAAATAGATTCTACCCCCCCAGGAATTAACCCGTCACCTTTTCGTATTGAAATTTACAAGTGGTTCTGCCCCATTGTGCATCCTGGCTGTGAATTCGTACTATCCCAGCCAAACCAATATCGCCCCCCCCCGCCATCCTCTGCAAAAATACTATGCGCGCGCTCTCGTCTATCAAATACCATGAATTTCAAGAATCCCTTACAACAAATGGGACGAAGTGCGCACGCGCGCCTGGTCGAGCGCGCATGCCGGAATCCCTCACAAACTCTGGGTTTCGGAAGGGTCTCGTAATCGAGTTTGCAAACAACAGACACAAACACAAGGTTTCGCAACACTGATTTGCTAAAACAACTTCCGCGAACGCTCTTGCGAAATCTGAAGAAAATCGTAGCTGTTGCAAGATTTTCAAAAGTGCTACCAAACGGGCTTCGCGCGGGCATGTCGAAATCTTTCGAACGCCCTTGCGCGCGTGCCGTCGCGAGAATTTTCTGTAAACGCCGGGACGAAGGGCGCACGCGCGCGTCGTCGCGCGCGCATGCCGCAATCCTTCAAAAACCTTCGGTTTCGGAAACATTTCCAAGTCGAGCGTCCAAAGAACATACAAAAACACCGGGTTTCTCCACACTCATTTTCAACAAAAGCGTGCGTGCGCGCTCTTGCGTCGTCGTCGTCGTCGTCGCCGTCGTCGTCCTCTGTCTTTCCTCGCCGTCGTCGTCGTCTTGGCGTCGTCGTCGTTTCCGTCGTCGTTATCGCCGTGGTCGTCCTTCCTCCCTCGTCGTCTTCGTCTGCGTTTCGTCGTCGTCCCTCCTATTTCGTCGCCGTCGTCGTCGTCGTCGTCTTCCCTCCTCCCTCGTCGTTGAAGTTGTCGGCGTCGCCGTCCTCCCTCCTTCTTCGTCGTTCGCGTCGTCGCCGTCCTCCCTCCTGCCTCGTCGTTGTCGTCGTTGTCGTCGTTGCCGCCGTCGTCGTCCCCCTCCTCCCTCGTCGTCGTCGTCGTCTTCGTTGGCGACGTCGTCGTCGTCGTCGCCTTCGTCGTCGTCGTCGTCGGCGTCGTCGGCGTCGTCGTCGTCGTCGGTGTCGTCGTCGTCGTCGTCGTCGTCGTCGTCATCGTCGTCGGTGTCGGCGTCGTCGTCGGCGTCGTTTTCGTCGTCGTCGTCGGTGTCGTCGTTTCTGTCGGCGCCGTCGAAGTCGTTGGAGACGTCGTTGGTCTCGTCGTAATCGTTTTCGGCGGCATCGTCGTCGTTGTCGTCGTCGTCGTCGTCGTTGTCGCTGTCGGCGTCGGTGTCGTTGCCAAGTGCCATTTGGTACCCACCGTCACGGTCTTAAGAGGTTTTGCAAACCAAATTGCGGGTGGGTGGGTGGGATGGTTGCGCGAGCAGTTGATGATAACTCACTGCGAACAGGAATTGGTTCTCCTTTTTAAAAACAGAACAGACTCGACCCCCCCGGACTTATCGCTTCCCCCTGGGATAGTATAATTTCATATATATATATATATTCTGCACACTCGTCCATCCTAAATATGAAATCATATCATCCCTGCCAGGCCGGGTTCCCCCCCTGAGGTTCCCTGGTGAAAAAACACTATGCGGTGACATTTGTTGTTCTAACATAACACTTTTTCGCGAATCCCTTACAACAAATGGGACGAAGTGCACACGCGCGCGTCGTCGCGCGCGCATGCCGAAATCCTTCAAAAACCTTCGGTGCCGGAAGGATTTCGCAATCGAGTTTCCAAACAACATACAAAAACACATGGTTTCGCATCACTGATTTGCTCAAAAGCTTCCGCGCGAGCTCTTGCTAAGTCTTAAGAAAACCATGGGTTTCCACGATTTTCAGAAAATGCTACCAAACGGGCTTCGCGCGCGCATGTCGAAATCTGTCGAACGCCCTTGCGCGTGTGCCGTCGCGAGAATCTTCTGCAAAAAAACGGGACGAAGTGCGCACGCGCGCGTCGTCGAGGGCGTATGCCGAAAACCTTCAAAACCCATCGGTTTCGATAGGGTTTCAAAATCGTGCGTCCAAGAAACGTACAAAAGCCTAAGGTTTCGCAACACTAATTTTCAACAAAAGCGTGCGCGCGCGCTCTTGCGTTGTCGTCGTCGTCGTCGTCGTCGTCGTCGCCGTCCTCCCTCCTCCCGCGTCGTCGTCGTCGTCGTCGTCGCCTACGTCGTCCTCTGTCTTTTCTTTTCTCGTGTTCGTCGTCGTCGTCCTCTTTGGCGTCGTGGTCGTTTCCGTCGTCGTTGTCGCCGTGGTCGTCCTTCCTCCTCCTCCCACGTCGTCGTCGTCGTCCGTCGTCGGCGTCTCGTCGTCGGCGTCTCGTCGTCGTCCCTCCTATTTCGTCGCCGTCGTCGTCGTCGTCGTCGTCGTCGTCGTCGTCTTCCCTCCTCCCTCGTCGTTGTCGTCGTCGGCGTCGCCGTCCTTCCTCCTTCGCCGTCGTTCGCGTCGTCGCCGTCCTCCCTCCTCCCTCGTCGTTGTCGTCGTTGTCGCCGTCGTCGTCCTTCCTCCTCCATCGTCGCCGCGTTCGTTGGCGTCGTCGTCGTCGTCTTCGTCGTCGGCGTCGGCGTCGTTGTCGTCGTCGAAGTCGTCGGAGACGTCGTCGGTGTCGTCCTAGTCGTCGTCGTCGGCGTCGCCGTCCTTCCTCCTTCGTCGTCGTTCGCGTCGTCGCCGTCCTCCCTCCTCCCTCGTCGTTGTCGTCGTTGTCGCCGTCGTCGTCCTTCCTCCTCCATCGTCGTCGCGTTCGTTGGCGTCGTCGTCGTCGTCTTCGTCGTCGTCGCGTCGGCGTCGTTGTCGTCGTCGAAGTCGTCGGAGACGTCGTCGGTGTCGTCCTAGTCGTTGTCGTCGGTGTCGTCGTAGTCGGTCTTAACAGGTTTTGCAAACCAAGTTGCGGGTGGGTGGGTGGGATGTTTGCGCGAGCAGTGGAGATGACGACTTCAAGTTCAGCAGAGTGGATTGCTCCACGTAGGCTGCACACGGTGGGAAGAGGGTAGGCTGGATCGGGGCAGAGGGGGCGGGGCGGCGACGATGGAATGGGCGGGCGAAAGCTCCTCCCCGCGCCCTACCTGGCACTCCCCATGCTGGTGGCCAACTTGGCCCGGGCCGGGGCCGCGGCCACTGCCGCGCGGCAGGAAGTCGAGCTCGAACCGGGCCTCGCCGTACGCGGCGATGGCCTGGGACCCCCCGGCGATTCGGCGCGGGCGCTCCCGGTGTGCCGAACACGGCTGCAAGCGTCGAGCCTCCACGACGTCCCGCCGCGAAGGTGTCTGGGGACTTGCCTACGGTGTCCAGCCTGGAACATATCCCAATCCCTAAGCTGGGCATCGCCTCAACACAATGCCAATCTTAGGGATTCCCTTAGTTTTTCAGGGCGACTCCCTAAGATTGTCATCGCCTTTTGGCGTGTCAATCTTAGGGATAGGGATACGTTCGAGGCTGGTGATACGGTGTCCCGCCATGGGGCCCCCACAGGCCTATGGTCATGAACTTCTTCTCAGCGTGTTGCGGCAGCGGCCCGGTGATGCGCAACGCCTTGCGAGCGGCTAGCGTGTCGCTCCGCTCCGCGAGGCGGGAGGCGGGGAAACGCCTGGGACGTTGACGCATGGGGACCGGAAAATGGATAGCATGTCGCGCCGCATCGCAGTGGCCCAGAATCGGCGGAGCGACACGCGGAGTCAAAATTTCTCCCCGTAGCCTCTGGCCTCTGGAGGTCCACGGAGGTCCCCGGAGGCTTTCGGACGTGTCCATTGGCATCCAGGGGGGGCCTGGGTGAGCCCCCAACGCCCCACAAGCTGGATCGCCATCGCCGCCCCGCCGTCTTCGTCCTCGTCCTCCTCCCCTCCTCCTCCTCCTCTTCCTCCTCCTCCTCTTCCTCCTCCTCTCCACTTCCTCCTCCACCACTTTCGGCACAGATCAGGTATTAACAACACCGTTCATGGGCCCCTCGATCTCTTCGGAGCCGTCCACAAGCTTCGGCTTTCCATCCTCAAGTGGGTGCAGCGCTATCGTTTCATTCGTGTGCAACTCACGGCTGCGGCTGATGCAACTCAGAACGGACTGGGGCGGTGGCCCCCCCGCTGGGCCGGGATCCTTCAAATCAGTCTTGGCGCCTGACACCACAAGCCCATTGTGCAATAATGCTTTCGCTAGCGGCATGGTCAGGGACGGGGTCTTGCCATCCGCGATGAGATATACCCTCTCTCCAATGGGCAAAAGCATGCGGTAACCGTCGATGCTCCCACACGAAGCTGCATCCGAAGTAACTTGCGCTTTCGCCCACCGACAGGGCAATGGTGCCTCAGACATCACGATGGACTCATCCTTTCATCCTTGGGACTTGTCGCAAGCGATGCTCGCGGCCCCGAAGGCTGCTCTGATCCCGCGCTGTGCTTCAATCGTCTGTGTCGACACAGCGACCGCGCGATTCATGGCACCTGCCGTTGGAACGAACATTCGATCAATCCGGTTGCAATCGCGCCCGGCATCGACAACGAAACTCATCGACCCTAGTCTCACCAGGCAGGGTTTCCCAGGAGTCGCAGCTCGATTTTTCCAATCCGCCCAGAGGCCCCGCGCCTCATGTTCTCGTTCTTACGGCTGCTTGAGCAACGATGCGATTCTTGCGCTCCTGACGCCCCCGCCAGAAGACATGAACACGCGCCGATCTGCGTCGGTGGTCGTCGATATCTTCGTGGCGTGCTTGCGGCGCCCTCTATGCCCGCCCGACCTGGGTTCCCGACCCAGATAAGAAATCGGCCCGATTTGAACAGATCTGCTTCGCCGACGGCCTCCTGCTCCATTTCAGGGGAAAGCAGATCCTTCCGGCGTCGGAGATATCATCAGCTCCATGGCCTTCCTTCGGAAAAAAGGCCCCCCGTTAACTCGAGGAGAAGATTTTCCATCGCGCGCGCTTCCATCCCTGCGGGCGCGGCGTCAGCGACGCCGTCGAGGCTCGACGTTCTTTCCTGGCCCACCGCGCTTGCCCCAAACGGGCGACGCCAGGGCCGCGTCTCTCTCCGGATGTCGGGCGCCCCGCCGCCCCTCTGAGGGCAAGAGGTGGCGTCCCTGGCGCGGGCATCAGTTTTGTCTTTCGCATTTTTGCTTCAATTCTTTTGTTTCTCACCATTGCAATTCGCGAGGGCGGGGCGTCTGGCTTCTCGCTCCAAGCCGGCGCTGCCGTGCTGTGTTTGAACGAGATCCCCCCCCGTCGGCGCACAGCGGCGAGCGCCCTGCGCGGGATCTCCTTCTTAGGGGCCCCGCTCATCATGCGCGGGCTCACCTGTTCGCTTCGTGCTGGGGCAACACTGTTCGTTCCGTGTTTCAGATCTCCCACTCTCTTCGATCCGCTGGGCTCCAGGCGCCGTTTAGTCATGGCCCCCGCATTCTGAATAGCCACCCTTTTGTGGAATGGCATGAGTGGCGGTCCACGTCGCCCCCCCCCCCCCCCTCCCTCCCAGCCATGCGCCTGTAGTGTCTGATTGAAGCGCTCGAATCTGCCTGGCTGTCTGCAATCGCGCTCGCGATTCGGGCGTCGCATCTGGCCGTTGGGTGGTTCTATGCTGCTCAGTGCCATCTTCTGCTGATGCGAAGCGAAGCTGTTCATCGTCGGCCTTGTGCCAAATTCCTTTGGCGCGTGCATATATGAAGTCGTCGTAGTTGACGATGTCCCAATGGGCAGCCCATGCAGCCGCGCGGGAGGCAACCTGCCCGGCGGCTTCTCGCCCCCTCAACATTTTTTGTCGGGGCTTGAGGCGTTCCTCGTCGGCCCTGCCGATTTCGGCCAGAGGTTGCAGCGTGGTCTCGTGCAGTCCTTTTGTCTTCGACAATTTGTCTTCCGCCAACCGATGGTCTGATGCAGTTGCGCAGTCTAGCTGCGTGAAAGGCACGGGGCCCCGACGTTTCAATCGGCGCCGCGTTCTCAAGTGCCTCGTGGAACCGCGCCAGCGCGGTGTCGCCATCGCGCGCCGCAGAGCCCCCCCGTTTCCGCGCGGTGCGATGCGCGGCGTCCAGGCATCTGGTCAAGCGATTTTGAACCCCTCGCCCGTGTCCCGGGGCTGCAGGTTCGGCGCCGCCGACTCCTCGCGGGCCGCCGCCTCCAGGCGGGCCGCGCCCGTCGGCCTCCGCCCCCAGGCGGCCCTGCGCGTCTCCGCCGAGATCATCGCCCCTTCCGCGGCGCCCGGGGCCGCGCCCATCGGGCGGGCCTCCAGCGCCGCCGGGCCCCCAGGGCGACGCCCATCTTCTGGGCCGCGCTGAAAGGTCCCGCTGAGGGTTGCCATCGTCCAGGGCCCAATCGCCTCCGTCTCCGGGGCCGTGGCCCCCGGGGCCGCCAGGCCCCTCCCCCGTTCGGGGGAGTGCCCGACATGGGCCCGCCTTCGGAGGCTCACCGCCTGCGCGGAGTGGCTGGTCCTCAGAGACCTCGGCGCCCTGCGACTTCCCCCCAGCGCCGACTTGATGGGGGTCGCCTCGGCAGCTTGCTGGGCGGCGGCGGCTTCGGCCATCTCTTCCAGGCGCTCGGTCCTTTCTTCGCCTGATTTTGGCGATTGCTAAGTCTTCCCGCTTCTCAGCCGTTCGGACACGAGCTTCTCCTCCAATCTCTCGGTCCTCTCGAGCATTCCAGCGCGTCGATGATCTCAACCCTCCAAGGCCGTGGCGCTCGCTTCCTCGGGCCTGCGCGCCTGGACTTCGGCGTCGGCGGTCGTTCAGCGGCGGGCTTGCCTGACTCGCTAATAGCTCCGCATGCATCTCAGCATGTAAACGTTCGCAATGCTCGTTTTGCCACCTATATCTAGCCTCTTCTTCTTCTTCGCCTACCCCCTGGGCGCTTCCGTGGCAATGGCCGTGCGTCGCAATGGTCTTTCCAACGAGGTCTCCGGCTGTCGATGCAGTCGGTAAATCCTCGCGCATCGCGCGCGCGGCACCGACTAGTCAGCCCGCCACCTGCGCCCGTCACGACGCCGCCTCTAGGAAATGCCGTCGCCGCGGTCGGCCCCTGAGCGAGAATGGCGGCCGCCGACGCCCGAGCGGCGGCCGCCCCGCCCTCGGCTTGGAGCGGGCTGGCCCTCGGCGCTTGTGCGGCGCTTTGCCCTGGGCTTTTCTTTGCGCCGCGGTCGGCCGTCGTGGTCATCGTCGTCGCTTCTTGGACTCTGGAGACTCTCTTAGCGTGAAATCTCATCTTGGCCTTCTCGCGCGTCTCGGCCAATCCTGCTTGTCGCCTTCGAGTCGGCTTCTTCGGCGACGCGGGCGATTCCTTCGGCCTCTCGCGTCCTCAATATCACCCGACTCCTCGCGGCCTATTCGGCGGCGCGGCGTCTCTCGCGGTCCTCGGCAGGCAGCTCCGTCTCGCGGGCCCCGGCGCTTTCTCTCTTCGCGATCGACGGCAACCTGGTGGATCTAATATTCGGGCATCTCTTCCCTCTGTTTCATAATTCGCGCCGCTTGTTGCTGCTGCGCAGACCCCAACTCGGCCTGTCTGAGCTGGAGGCAATTTGGCTGTTCTTGCGGGGTGCGCTCGACGCAGAGAGAACTGACGCTGCAATTCTCGCAGACCTGCGAGCGCGCGAAGCAGTCGGATCTCTGACGTCGGCCCGATCTGCCCTGGCAGCGACTCTCTGCATTCGCGGCGCACTCGGGGGTTGGCTCCCTGCGTCTTTCGGCCGTCGAGACTGCGCTTGTCGACGACATGGCGGATCGAATTGGAAATCCCTGCCTCCTGTCCATCGCAGTGCTGGGACTTCTGGGCCCCCTGTCCCTCGCCGTATCGGGGTCGGGGCGATCGCTCCAGGACCTGTCTTTGTCAGAGCTCATGCGTGACGGAGTGGGCGACTGCCGGTGAACTGCCCTTTTCCTTTCGAGCGGCGTCGGTGCCACGGGAGTCTCAGGGCCAGATGGGCATGTACCTATCGGCGGAAACCATGGGCCAGCGGCAAAGCCGCTGGGACCAACGTGCGGCCCAGGGCTACCGTGCATCGATCCACCATCGGAGACTTGAATAGCAGGTGCCAGAGACTAAGATGGTACTACAAGGCGGAGCCTCTTCGCACCCACTGGTCTGTCACTCTCTTGGTCATCCGCACGGTTTTTGCTTGACGCGCTGGAGTTGGCGCTTGATGGCGGATGTTCCTAACTGCGCCTGGGAGCACTGGCCTTTTCTTCGGTGCCAACTCTGGTCGACTGCTGCCATGCGTTTCGGAATCTGTTCCACTGTGATGATTCTTCGCTGTCTCGACCGACTCAGGAGCCACGTCGGCAGCGAGGGGGGAACAGATATGCTGGAAGAGGGCGTCGATGCCAGTGGCTGCGACCGTCTCGACGTCGACGTAAGGATTCTCCGTTGATGCTGTCACGTGCGCGTTGATTGTCCGCTGAGATACTGCATGGAATTCTTCACGAGGCGAGGCCATCCACCGCGCCACTGTAGATGGCTTCTGTTCAACTTGACACCGTATCCCCTCCTCAAGACGGGGGGGTAGCCAAGCTCCCCCACGGGGTGTCGTCATCACTTTGCTTCTGGGCCGAGACGTTGCAACCGTCATGGCGTTCTTCATGACGCTCGTCACCAAAATGGTTTTAATCATAATTCCGGTTGGTCGCCAAGTTATTTGCCAAACAACCTCTACATTATGACAATCGGGTCGTGTCAATTTTCGGATCTCATCCCTCAGAGGTTCCCTTAAACCGGATATTGTTGACATATGTTTCCTTCACGAAATTTTGTTTGCGTCATGGCTATTTTTTTACGTAGACGTAAGAACATATATGATACGCGGGCGCAAGCAATATACATAGAGAGAGGGAGAGAGAGAGAGAGAGACATAGAGAGATAGAGAACAAATGAATATAACATTCGGGACAGAGATAGATAGAGAGAAAGAAAGAGAGAGAGAGAGAGAGAGAGAGAGAGATAGACAGAGAGATTGAGAAGCAGAGAAAGAGAGAAAGAGAGCCAGGGAGAGTGAGAGAGGCGCGTGTATCTCCTTTTGCGTTGGTAAGAGATCCCTCGATTTCTGTTTTGAGCCGAACGCGCAGAAACGCGCGCGCGGGCTCGCGCATAATACAGGCACTGGGAGTGACAATAATGACTTCCGCCCCCTCCCCTCTCCTCCTCATCCTCTTTCCTCCGCCAAAGCCTCCTCTGCAATCTCCTTCGCCCTCGCCCCCCTCCCCCTACTCCTTCCTGCTCCGCCCTCCTCCTCCTCCTCCTCCTCCTCCTCCTCGTTTTTAGTTGGAGGGGAACAACACGAGCGGACAGCGATGTACCATAACAACTCATGCGAGAGACCAGTAGGCATCCAACCAAACGGCTGTCCTGCGAACGTGGCCGAAACTCGGGCCGCAGGGAGGTGTGGAGGGGAGCAGAGGCCCCAGAGGAAGAGACGATGCACAAAGCTGGGGCAGCTGCCGGCAAACCTGCAACAGATGAGCCGCATTGCGCCAATGAGATTCAGGGAAATGGTGGGGGGCGGCGGAGTAGACTTATACAGCCCATATGGCTCAGAGAATCATAACTGATACATCCACGTAAGGAGACTGAACAAATGCGCCGCGTGTGCGACCCCGATGGCTGGCCAGCCACGTATATCATGCACACGACGTAGCCCAAACGCAACGCCGAGAGCTCCGGACTCGGGCCCAGGGGGGAGGAGAGAGAGGGGGAAGAGGGCAAGGAGAGGCAGAGAAAGCAGCACAAGTGGAGCGCAGCTCAGCAAGTCTTTCTTCTGGTCCTCGTCTCTGCTCTAGCCCTCGTCTTTACCCCAATCTTCGTCCTCATCCTCGTCCTCCTCTCTGCCTCCCCCCCCCTTCCTCTCCTCCGCCCCCCCCCCCGCCCCGTCCTCTCTCGGCCCTCAGGCATCCCGCTCCCCGTCGCCGCGCCGCCTCTCGCAGCTCGCCGCGCCACGCGGGCCAGTGGGAGAACAGCCTGCGGGGCCGCGGGCGGGCGGGGGCGGGCCACTGCGCGCGCGCGGGCTGTAGCGAGGAGGAGGCTGTTGGCCACCTCGTGCCTCCGTGGCTCCTCCAGAGACTTCTTGCTCTGCTGGGCGCGCTTGGAGGCAGTCGGGGGCATCCTGGTCCGACGGTTCGGGAATCGATCTACGGAGCCAGCGAAAGCGAGGCTGAGCCACACTGGGCCACACACACACACACACGCACAACACACCGCGCGCGCGCGCGCGCGCCCGCCCGCCCCCCCGCCCGCCCGCCCGCCGCGCCCGCACCCCCGCCCAGCCCGCCCGCCCGCCCGCCCGACCGACCCCCGCCCTCCCGCCTGCCCGCCTCGCCCGCCCGCCCGCCCGCACGCACGCACGCACGCACGCACTCACGCACACACGCACGCACTCACGCACACACGCAAGCACGCACGCACGCACGCACACACGATCATTCGCGCACGCACACACACACACACGCACGCACGCACGAACACACACACACACACACGCACGCGCACAACCCCCCACACACCACACCACACACCACACACACACCACACATACACACACCACACACCCCACACACACCACACACACCACACACACACCACACACACCACACACCACACACCACACACCACACACAACACACAACACACAACACACAACACACAACACACAACACACAACACACAACACACAACACACAACACACAACACACAACACACAACACACAACACACAACACACAACACACAACACACAACACAACACACAACACACAACACACAACACACAACACACAACACACAACACACAAGACACAAGACACAAGACACAAGACACAAGACACAAGACACAAGACACAAGACACAAGACACAAGACACAAGACACAAGACACAAGACACAAGACACAACACACAACACACAACACACAACACACAACACACAGCACACACACACAACCAACACACACACACACACCTGATGCAACCGCCTTCCGACGCCTGGATTGACGGATTGTTCGCAGCGTTTGGGTGGTACGGCTGCAGTGGTACCTCCGAGGAATTCCTCGGAGATGCTTCCGAGGAGGAGGAGGAGGAGGAGGAGAAGGAGGAGGAGAAGGAGGAGGCGTAGGGCTGCTGCTCCAGGTCCTCCTCCTCTTCCTGCCCCCCCTCCTCTTCTTCCTCCTCCTCCTCCTCCTCCTCCTCCCCTCCTCCTCCTCCTCCTCCTCCTCCTCCTCCTCATCTCCATCCTCCTCCTCATATCATCATATCCTATCCTCCATACCTCCTCCATCATCCATCATATCATATCATATATCATCATATCATCACATCATATCACCTCATACCATATCATATCATATCATATCCTATCATGTCAAGCCATACCATACCATACCATACCATATCTCATCATATCATATCATATCATATCATATCATATCATATCATCATTTCCACCATCATTTAGACGTTCGTTAGAACAGCAGGTTTCTCCTCCTCTCGCAGCCTCTCCTCTCTGTCCTCTGTTTCCCTCTTCTGCTGCCGTTTGCTCAGGGCTCGCTGTGAGCCTTGGGCCATAGCTCGCTGGCCTAGCCAGAGGCGCAGCCGAGCAGTCCGAGGAGAGCTGGGTAGTGGCTGGGCCAGGTCCCCCCTCCAGTGCGGGCGGGGGCTCCGGAGGGGAACCCCGCGGTTCGCGGCGCACGCTTCCAGGCGCCCGCGGCCCGAAGGGGCAGTGGCAGCGGGGAGGTGCCGCTGGTGGCCACGCTCGGGTGGCTAAATGCTTCCCTGGGCGTAGGGCTGTCGACTGCCTCCTCGGCCTCTGCCAGCTATGCGCCAGGACCGAGTGAGGGCCACGCGCGGGAGGAGCCAGGCGCGGCGAGTAGCTGCGCAAAAGGAGGCTGAGCCAGCCGACCCCGTGCGGCCCGTGGAGACGAAGCAGCCGGAGGAGGCGGCGGCGCCCCAGCTTGAGGCGCCCTCGACCGCGAGCCCGCCGCCAGCCATGGCCGGTTCGGGTGGGCGCGCCACCGGCCGCGAGGAGTGCTGCTACCTCGCGCGCTACTGCGAGGTCGGGGTGGTGCTGAGCCCGCCCCCGGAGATGCAGCCCGCGGCGCCAGCTGTGCCCAGTCTGCTGCCGGAGGAGAAGGCGATGCCGAGAGCGTCGGAGCGACCTCGGGCGGGCGAGCAGCAGCCGCCCGCCCCGCGGAGGCGTCCAGCTGCGGCGGGGCCTCGGTCGGCGGGCGACGCCGCTCGCTCGCAGCGGGCGCAGGCGCCACCGCCGCCGCCGGGGAGGCCGCCAGCCGGAGGAGGCGAGCGCGTGGCCGCTGAGGAGGCGCCCCCACCTCCAGACCGTCCTCCCGAAGCCGTACCAGAGAAGGCTAGCGCCGAGCCAGGCGGGCCTGCAGTAGCCAGCGCGTGGTCCGAAGCGGCGCTCAAATGGCTGGGCGAGAAGGCCGGGCACGCGCTGGGCGCTATGCTCCACCAGGTGATAGCTTTCCTCATGGGCATGATGAACGCTATGGGGGAGCACCTTTGTGGCCGCAACTGGGTACGGCTCCAATGTCGCCCTGAGCGTGGCCGCAGCAGGGGTGATCGCCCTCCTCGGCTCCATGATCAGCCTTGTCTCCTGGGTCCTGCGCACGGCCTGGATGTACTGTTCGTTCGTCTTCGTGACTACGCGTGGCCGCGAAGTCGCCCTGGATGGTAAGCCGAGCACTGCCCTGACCTGGCGTGGTCCAGACGAAGCTGAAGCCGTCGACGCAGACTACGTCAAGGATGAAGTGAGAGCGAGGGGAGGCAGCTCTGAGAACATGATGTCCAACGACCTCATCATCAATTCGGGCGGGGCGGTGGCGAGGCTGGAGCAGGGGCCCATCAAGGGCAGCCGCATTACCCGCCACGGGTGCGTCCATCGCTTCAAGGAGGTCAAGGGCAGCTCGCGCCGGCACCTCAAGACTGACCTGGAGGCTACGCGAGATGACGAGGGGATTGGCCTGGTGCATCTGTGCTCGGCGACGCCATGCGCGTTGCGGGCAGGAGACAAGCCCATGGTCCACGCGGGTTATTCGTGCGTCGTCGGCCACACCTCCTCGATCAACGTGTCGGACCTGGCCAAGCTCACACCTGCGGGACGGGCCAGGATGGGGAGCAGAGTATGCTGCTCTTGGATGTGGATGGGTTGGGCTGGTCCGCCCTGGGCGAGCTTTGCAGACCTTGGAGGTGAGTTCGAGAGGGAGTTCCGCAGCGAGCTCGAAGGCATGGGCGTCGAGCCCATTGCCACCGCCGCCCTGAGCCCCACGCAGAACAGCATCTGCGAGCGGCGCAACGGCGAATGGAAGTCCATCGCGAAGGCCATCGTCGATGAGTGCCAGATCGATTTTACCGTGCCAGGTGCCGCGGAGTGGCTCTGCGCCGTGGTTAGCTGGGCGAAGAACAACAAGGTGGGGCCATCAGGGTATAACCCGGCGCAATGGGTGCTCGGACGCGGCTACCGCCTGCCCTACAGCATATTCTCTAACCACGCGAGGCTCTCGCTCCACCAGCGCGCCCGGGACGACCAGACAATCCAGCAGCGCGTGGGCATGCTTGCTGCAGCTCAGCGTGCGGCCCAGGCAGTCGAGTACGACCGTCGTCTCTCAGCAGCCTTCCTGGCCAAGAGTCGCGGGCAGGCTTCTCGGCCATCGAGCCTCATCTTTAGCATTTGCGACCAGGTCTTCTACTGGCGTGGTCTGAACAAGGCCAAGAAGATGTGGAGTTTCAAATGGCATGGCCCTGGAGTTGTCGTCGGACGCGAGGGGCGCGGCGTGTGGGTTTCGCATGGGAGCGCTACCCTCAAGTGCTCCCCGCTGCATCTGCGGCCTGCGCCTCCAAAGGAGCGCGTGCCCTGGAACGAGATCTTCGACGCTCCGGCCCACGGCGACGAGCCCGAGTTCGAGGGGGGCGCGCACTACATGGGGGACCCCCTGGGGACCGACGCCGATTCCTACGGCATGACCCTCGACGACGAGCAGGCCCCCGGTCCTGCCAACACTCACCCCACTACAGGGCGGCGTCAGACTGGGAAGCGCAGTGGACGTCTTGGCTATCGCCCCGAGGGCTCGGCCGAGGAGGAGACCCCGGGGCCCCAGCCCGATTTTGACGCTTCGGGCCCCGACGAGTCGGCCGATCCAGAGGCGAAGCGACCGCGCTTTGCTTCAGAGCCCGAGGTTGAGATTCCAGTGGAGACGCGGCCAGCGCAGCCACGGCAGCAAAATCCCGACCCAATCTCGGTGGGGCCCGAGACGCCTCTCGAGCAGCCGATGTTCGACCGAGAGCAGTTCCAGACCCCATGGGCTCATCGGGGCGTTCCCGACCTTGTCGAGGACCTCGACGCAGACGAGGAGCAGGAGACGCCGCGCGCGGAACAACATCAGGCGTCCGCACCGGAGCCAGAGACTCCCGTCGTGGAGGAGCTTCGTCGGCTGCGGCGACTTCGCTGCGACCCACTCGACGACGTACCTACCAGCATTCGGCAGAACCTCCAGGCGAGGGGGAGCTCCACGACCTACGACCCCCTCGACGACGTGCCGCACAGCATCCGAAGATCGCTTCAAGACCGACAGATCACCAAGAAGCCCAGGGTTGACGAGCACCTGATCATGGGGCTCTCACTGAAGGAGTCGGTCGACTTCGATTGCTCTATCCTTTACTCGACCAGGTTCAGGCGCGTGGACCTCGTGGGCAAGTCGAGGGGCAAGGAGCTGATCTTCAGGAACCTGACGGGCGGCAACCATGTCAAGTTGCGGAAGGCTATGGCTTCAGAGTGGGACAAGTGGCTGGCGTTCCACGCAGCGCGGTGCTGTTCCAAGGAGGAGCTCGCCCATCTCAAGCGCAAGCGGCCACAGCTCAAGGTCGTCGGCACCAAGTGGGTTTTGACTGAGAAGGATGCGGATACCTTCCAGGCGAGGCTGGTGGTGCAAGGGTGTCAGGAGAATGAGTTGGGCATTTGTGCCGACGCTCCGAGCGGGGGCCGAGGCGCATTCTGGCTTGCGGCGGGGTTTGCAGCTCAGCATGGCTGGGATGGCGCTTTCTTCGATGCCAAGAGCGCCTACTTGCAGGCAGAAGGCATCGACCGAATTCTGACGATCAAAATGCCGCTGGAGAACCCTCCTCCGGGCACCGTTCCAGGACAGATCTTCTTCGCGACGGGCAGCATCTACGGCGCGAAGGATGCTGGCAGCGCCTGGTATTTGCATTTGAAGTCAACTCTCAGTGAATACCAGATCAGTGAAATCAAGCTGGAGCGAGGCTGGTACGACTTGGCTCACCAGGGGAGATCTTACTGGTCATCCGCTCCCATGTGGACAACCCCTACGTCCACAAGATCATGCTGGAGCTCGAGAAGCGCCTGCACCTTGCCAAGAAGGTCGGTGACGTCGACTACCTGGGCACGGGGGTGCAGATGACGCCGGGGTTCATCAACGTGACCCAGGAGAAGGCGATCAAAACGAAACATTCCCGAGTTAGAGGCGACACCTGAGGAGGTCAGTAGCTTCAGGAGGGTCAACGGGCAGGCGCAGTGGGTTGCTACGAGGCCCCGTCCAGATGCGGCTTGCAAGCAGAAATTGGCGGCCCAGCGCATCAGCAAGCTCACGATCCAGGACCTGAACAACCTCGACCAGTTGGTCGCCGAGCTCAAGCAGAGCCTGACGCTGGGAGTTCGGCTCGTCCGAAGTCGAGTTCGTGTTCTGTTGGCGCAGCTGGTGTTCTACGGGGACTCCGCCTTCGCCGATGCCGAGGGCGAGCGGTCGCAGTGCGGGCACGTCGGGGGCTTGACTAACAAGCCCGAGGAGGTCTTCCAAGGGAGATTCAGTGGGCTGATTCCGCTTACCTGGTACTCAGGACGTGTCCGGAGGGTGGTGAGAAGCACCCTCAGCGCAGAGGCCTAAGCTATCAGCGAGGCCTCCGATTGCGCAGAGTGGTATCGCCAGGTGCTGACGGAACTGAAGATGGCGCCGAAACTTGGAGGCCCACCAAAATTGAAGGACGTGGAGCGGCAAGCGGATAGCATCAAGATGACGACCTTCACGGACAGCAAGAATCTAGAGAAGACGGTGGAGAAGGACGCCGGAGTCGCGCAGGACAAACGTCCGAGGATTGTGGCCATATGGTCGCGGACGCCCTCACCAATTTGATGCGCGCGGGTATGCTGATGGCATTCATGTCCGGTCGCGACGTAAGGTTCTCAGCCCCAGTTCCCAAGTCGAAGAAGCTCGTCCAAGTACTGGCGATGGCAGCGACGGCCATGCCAGGAGCCAGCTTTGAACTCTGGCCGATCGAGAGGACGAGCAGTGGTCGGTGCAGCCAGGACCTGACCATCATGCAGTCATGCAGTCGTGAAGGATATGCAGTGAGCTGGTGATATTATTTGCAGGGTGTAGACTTTGGAACCATGTTGACTCTCTTCTGTCTACTGGTGTATGTTGTGGTTCAGAAGGTAACGCCCATGCAGACTAGGACGTAGGAGGTCGACCAGCAGTTGGAGATGATGATCAAGCCGACCATGCAGCTCAAGGCGCAGCAGGTTGACCAGCAGACGGAGATCAGGACCAAGCCCAAGCACAAGAAGGATATGGGCTACGGTAGGGTCCAGGTCACAGGCACGAGACGTCGCAACCCCATTCACAACTTCGAGGGTGACGCGCTTTGTGGGCAGCCGTGCGATCGTGTGAGCACTCCGTGATTGTGCTGTGCTCCACCGACGGAATCTACAGCTGTGTGAGCACTCATCGTGCTGTGCGCCACCGACCACGGGCACCCCTGTGAGCTCCACTTTTTCTCGTTCGAGCCTGGGGTACACTCCGATTTCCGTATGAGGCCCCTTTTAGGCCGTGGGCCCTGCTGGGCTGTTGTACGATGGCTGCCACACTGGGCAGCGTGCGAAACCATCCCCACCTCGTCCTCGTCTTACCTCCCTGAATTGACGACTGAGTTTTACGCTAGCGAGTTTTTTGTTTTACTGCCTTGAACTGCGAGCTAATCTAGCAAGCCAACCAAACTTGTAGGAACCCTGGGCCCGAGTTTGTAGCAGCCGAGCCGTCAGCGACCGGCCGATTCTCCGATGATTTCAGCAGCGTTTAGATCAGGGAAATGTGCAGCGTACATTTCGGAGGAGCGTGAGTGGTCAATTGTGTAGGCAGCATGTTTTGCAGCAAGCACGCTTCTGCTATCGTTTGGACCCAGCCGCTTTGACAAGTTTTTAGCTACGCAAGCAGCAACATGATTTCGCCCAGATCCAGAAATCAACGATATCTCTACGACGGTCTAGTGGGTACGGGACATGCTCTGCAAGTTCCTCGTGGACTGCAAAGTAAGCCTCGAGGTCCAGTGGTTCGGCAGCCAGTCCCCCATCGCGGGGGCGCTTCTGAACCTTGCTTTCCCGCTCAGCGCGGTCCCGCCAAACACTTCGGGAGAAATAGTAGCGCTTTTTGGGCCCCTCCCGTTTCTTTGGTATTCCATTCTCCGTCGGTGCATTACATTGTAGTTGTTAGCCTCATCTGCTTGCCAGATTTCTTCTACGATGCAAGCCCGTCTCTCTTCCTCCGCGGCTTCCCTCACTGTCTTGAGCACCGCAGAAACTTCCGTTGGGTTGGGTCTCACAGTCCAGCATTTTTCCCAACCATCCTGTGGTGTTGGGTCCTCGTTTTGAAGGGACGGTGCCCCGCGTTCTCCTCCTTCCTCCTTCCTCCTCCTCCTCCTCCTCCTCCTTCCTTCTTCACATCCTTGCCTCTGCTCTCCACATGCCCATCCCATTTCGGCGCACCCCTCACAAGATTCGTGGCCCCATAGGGAGCTCCACCGAAGGCCCCAGTGGCGGCGTTCGCATTCAGTTCAACCATCATTTCGGTGCACCCCTCACAGGGTTCGTGGCCCCATAGGGAGCTCCACCGAAGGCCCCAGTGGCAGCGTTCGCATGCAGTTCCCCCCTCATTTCGGCACACCCCTCACAGGGTTCGTGGCCCCATAGGGAGCTCCACCGAACGCACCACTCACAGGGTTCGTGGCCCCATAGGGAGCTCCACCGAAGGCCCCAGTGGCAGCGTTCGCATGCAGTTCCACCCTCATTTCGGCGCACCCCTCACAGGGTTCGTGGCTCCATAGGGAGCTCCACCGAAGGCCCCAGTGGCAGCGTTCGCATTCAGTTCCACCCTCATTTCGCCTCACAATGTTCGTGGCCCCATAGGGAGCTCCACCGAAGGCCCCAGTGGCAGCGTTCGCATGCAGCTCCACCTTCAGTTCGGCGCACCCCTCACAGGGCTCGTGGCCCCATAGGGAGCTTCACCGAAGGCCCCAGTGGCAGCGTGCGCATGCAGTTCCACCCTCATTTCGGCGCACCCCTCACAGGGTTCGTCGCTCGTGGCCCCAAAGGGAGCTCCACCGAAGGCCTCAGTGGCAGCGTTCCCATGCAGTTCCACGCTCACTTCGGCGCACCCATCACAAGGTTCGTGGCCCCATAGGGAGCTCCACCGAAGGCCCCAGTGGCAGCGTTCGCATTCAGTTCGACCATCATTTCGGTGCACCCCTCACAGGGTTCGTGGCCCCATAGGGAGCTCCACCGAAGGCCCTACCGTACAGTGGCAGCGTTCGCATGCAGTTCCACCCTCATTTCGGCGACCCACAGGGAGCTCCACCGA